ATTTCATCGACTGGCTCTTTCGCTTTGATGCGCACATAGTCGAATCTTTTGTTACGGAATATTAACAACAGATTTAGATAGAATGATAACGATTCCTTTCACAATTTTTTTTTCTCCATCAACAAAGAGCGATTGCGACGCTCCAACACGAGGAAAAAAATCCGGATGTCATCAGTCTTTCCTCAATGAAAACAAAAGGTAGAAGACGAAATAGTGAATATATACATTTGGATCAAACAAAATTGTATTTCAAATGTTTATATTCATGCAACAACATGTATGTTGGATATAAAACAATGTCCTCAGAGCCCCGAGTCATCCCCCATTTCTTTATTTACAGAAACAGTTACGAGTCCTTATTTCGAGCCCCCCCCCCAGCGCCCCCCGGACAGTGAAAATACCCATGAAGGGGACGCGTCAAGGTACTTAGCTTCAGGTAAACATACCCTAAATCATCCGGCAAAAACTCGACCTTTTCCCTATATCTCGTCAAAACTCGAACATTCTCATCCTACAGCTCAATGTGTAACTTATTTTGCCCCGTAAACCGTTGCAAAACTGTAACGACCGTTTACACAGGTACCCAACAAGGGAGGGAACAGGTAAATGAATTTTGGAGGGTCACTCCCGCTGTTATTGTTTTGGGATGGAGCAAGGACGAGTAGTTGAGGATCTAGTTATTTTTATAGTGTTTGGGGTATTTTGGAGCATGTGAAGGTGTGAGGAATTCTTGGAAATGAATTTTTATTGTTGAGTTTTGCTGTTGCATGCACAATTGCATGGCCCAATTGCACTGTTAAAAATTTTTGTCTGAAATTTCCGGTACACTTTTTCGAAATTTTTAGGGAATTCATTTATTACTGAAATTTCAACGAATTTCGTCATTGAGAGAACTGTAAATTTCAGTTCCATTTTTTCCTGAAAATCAATCGAAAACCAGACAATTGCGGTAAATTTATTTTTGAATTTTCAGGACAGTAATACTGAATGCAATTTAGGGGGAAAAAATCATGAAATTTCATATTTCACTGAAAATTCAATGTAATTTGGCACTGCATATTCATATTAGATTGGAAATAGAAAGAATGGATTCAAATAAATTAAGGAATTTTATTCTTTATGCTGCACTGTCGGAAATTTTTTTAAATCTCATGGAAGATATTATAGTAAATCTTATGAAAGTGATATTTAATCGAATTTAGGGAAAAAATGGTTATGAAATTTTAAGTTTCAAGTAGAATTCATGAGTTTTCAGTGGGGGTGAGATGGAAATTTCACAACTTGATTAAATTATCAGTGGAACATAAATATTCAGAATTTTCCTGATTTTTCTGAATTTGCATAGAATAATTGAACTGAAAAATCAATTTTTTATGGATTTCCAGATTATCTGAACAGAAAATCAATGGAATATTTGATTTTTCAATGACAAGATTTCCTGAAATTTCAGTGGAACTTGAACACGATAAAAATGTCCTGAATTTGGTACGGAAAATTTAGACGAAAATTTTCAACAGTGTGTTTAAAGTTCTGGAATTTTACTGAGTTTCACTTCAGTGAAACCTGAAATTTCATGACTTTGGAAGGAAAAAATATAATCTATCGTACGGCAATCATTTGATCCTCAAGAAATCCATAGGTTTATACCATAGAAAGAATACATTGACGAGGAAGAAATATTTTTTTCCCAAAAAAAATTGTCTCCTCGAAATTATTTAGTTTTTCCAAAAACACAGATTTCGGCAGGAAAATTGTAGTTTCCTCTTGAAATTATCATTTGTTCCATGAAAATTAACTCAATAACATTCACTTGATAAAACCGGAGCCTCATATAATTCTTTGTAGAACGAATGTATTTACCCGAAAGACATAAATGTCTCAAGAGACCAATTACTACAACGAACATTATCATATTTTGATAAAAACTTTTTTGTCCACAAATTAATTGATTCAACAAGACAAAATATCTCTTCAGGGGACTTTTTCTCTCGGTGTATCTTATACAAAGGGTCAAGACTCTTTCGTCAACACGAAAAATCTTTAAAAAATTAGCCCGTTTGTGTCATCAATTTTCTTCTTAAGGATGTTTAGCCATTTTCAGAAAATCTTATTTTTTCAGGTTCAAGGAAAATTCTATAGTTTTTTTGGCTGATAGCAGAACATATGAAACTAACTTCGTTGGTGTTAAAAAAAAATTAATCGCAATAGTCTCGCCAGAAATGAATCAACAAATTTTTCTTTAACACGGGCTCTTATAGAATTTATGTTGAAATTTATAATTTACCTACTAGGGGACTCTAAAAATAGAAATAAAAAAATAAGGTAATCTGCAAAACTATACTGAATCGAATGGCCAGAGAAAAATTCGGGGTACCCGGGCAGAAAGAGTAAATATTTGAAAGATTCTGTCCCATATAAGCACATGTTAGCGCATGCGTTTGGTGCATTTTGTCCACTTCATTTCTGAATAATGAACGTGGGTTGGTGGATTGAAATTTTCCTCAAGATAAAGGGAATACCTTCATCTCTCAGTTGAAAAAAAATCAATTTTTTTTTAATACTTGTGATTTTGGATAAACATCCTTAATCGTCATTCCTCACGCCCATCCATCCTCGTGAAATAGCGATGCATCTAAGACCTATCGATTGACGCCACTCTCCCCACCCCGGCATCTCGCCCGGGCTGTCACCCCTGATAGGGTGCACCATTCTCCCCCAATGAGACTTGCCCGAAGCCCAGACTCCACCCCGTTCACCCTCATCCCTTGACAGGTACACAACTTCTCCCATAAATCTCAGCACACACGACACACGTGCACGCGTAACCCCTCGTGAAGTCTCAGCAATTGGTCAATTCGTTTCATCAGAGAACAGGGGGAATCCCATGTTCCGTAAACATCGTAAAAATTCGCTTCTTAATCAGGCCCTTATTAAAACCTACATTTACCGTCGTGTTTGCCCATCTGATTTCATAGTTTATTCTGTTCTGTTGTTTTCGCTAGTTGGGGTGACCAGAATTTGTCGATGGGACAAGGGAAAAATTTCTTAATCCATATTCTAAACTACTTAAGGTGTATTAGGAAACAGGGCTTTCTTACGATTGTCCCCATGTTTTTCATGGATAATGGTTACAATATTCCCCAGGTATTGAAAATAATTCTAACCAGCTGTACTACACGTCCAGCACGCGAGACATACACTGTTAGAAAATTACTCTTCACGGAGAGAAATATTCAATAAAAATTACGTATCTTTTCCGTAATTTCGGAGCGAAACGTGGTTGTAGGAAATTTTACGGAACTGTCATGGAATTTTTCCAGAGGGTTCCGTAATTTTTATCTGAATCTCCTGTGAAAAATTACGATACCGTTACTTAAATTTTCTGCGTCGATTCCGTAATCGATGAGCGAACTGTGAGTTTCCTAATTTTTACTGAACATTTCTCTCCGTGTTAAAATTTGATTTCTTAGGTTCACACGACAATGAAAATTATTGAAAATCATGGAAATTCAGGCAACTTTCCACAGTTTTAGAAAAAATGCAGAAAAATGATTGCACGGTCATGAAATTTCGTGAGCCTTTAAGTAATGATAAAACGCAAAAACGGAATATTTTTTCACGTCAATTCGATCAACAATTTACCAGAAAAATTCACAGAATGTGAATTTTTGCGAAAAGGGTGTAAATACATCCTTAAGTCATTTAGAATTTTTTTTGCAAATTGATTCTCAGCAAACAGTATGTCGACAATTTGTCGACAAATTGCCGATGTCCTATTTACTAAAGATGAACGAAACGTGAAGTTGTTTTATATCGAAATATCTCGAAACTGCCTGACCGCTAATCCTTAATTCTGATTGGTCAATATGTGACATGAAGTTATTGACATAATTTCAAATATATATATGACATAATTTCAAATTCTTCAGAGGTAAATTTTTTTTTCACGTCATATATATATAATATATATTTCACATGTAATATTATCGGTGAAATTAATAAATTCTGTCCTGTTATGGAGACCGATTATTTAAAAAAATTGAAGGTAATTAATTGAAAATGAAAAATTATCAATTATCAATCATTAGTCGAATTCTCTTTGATTCATTATCAATATTTATAAGGTATTCATGAGAAAATGAAATTCAATGAATTCCATTTCTTCATTTCAACAAATGAATAGATCAGCGCGCGCGCATAGATCTTGTCCTGTTAAATTTTAGATGGTACTGGCAAAAATTGTTTTCTGGGTAGGGACTGACTTTTGGGTGGTATTGTCTTGGGATATTCCTTAAGGTACTTCCGCAGTAAGTATACTTGGTGAAAATTTCGAAATGGTATAAAGACGCAATATTTAGATCATATGTTGTTGACCACATTAAAAAGATATTCCCAAAATTTCAAGTCCCTGGTCCACCCCATTTTTGAGATATGCATCGCCAAACATTCAATTTTTGTGTTTTTTCCATTTTTGACGATGTATATCTCGAAAATGGGGTGGACAAGGTACTTGAAATTTTGGGAATAGTTTTTGAATGTGCTCAACAACATATGATTCAAATNTGCTTTGGGATTGTCTGGCTCAGGATTATGTGGGCCGTAAGCAAAAATGCATGTCTTCAATATGTCGAGATATAATGAATGAAAGTTCATCATCATTTTGGGTTTTCAACCGTCAATTTTTTATGTAGAGAAGAAGAAATCTGCTGGTAATGATATTCAGTAGATTTCCTGCTTTATCGACTCCGGAGGGTAAACTATTGACTGAGAATCAATTTTCCTCCATTATCGACATTACAATGCTGGTACAAAAAAATTGTAGATGTCACTGACATCAAATTCCCGGTCTATGACGTAAACTTTTGAAAAAAAAACTGAAATTTCTCAATCTGAGAAAAATTGATAACTAAAAAAATTGATGTTTAGAAATAACTGGGTACCCAATGTATGAATAATTTTTAATGATTTATTGTTAATATTATATAATTATGTATATTATATTCATATTTTCATATATATTTTATTTATATATTTATCCGATGACTTAAACACTAGAAGGGGTTTCTTTACTCATTCCTCGAAAAATCATCAATTATTTATATTATTTATAGTTTTCAACTGGGGATCAAAATTCACGGGGTTGTGGGAGGGACACAAGTAGGGATTCGTAATATCCAATCATTCCGAAATTTTCCTCTTTCTCATAAAAAAAAAGTTTCAAAGAAGAAAAAACATTTAATTATAAACAAGCATTAACAATTTGTCTATCCACTCTACACGTATGGGATATTTTCATTTTTCCTCCCTTGACAAAAAAAAAGACAGAATGAAATAACAACGTATATACTATCCGATCTCTAGGGAAACGGATCGAAAAAAATCGATTGTTGCCAATTCGTCAAATAATTTTTTTCGATTTCTTTTTTTTCTTCAACTATTTACATTGATTACAGTTTTACATTTGCAATTCACCTAGACTAGTTCATCAGGAAGTCCGAGACTAGAGCCGATGAAAGTCTCTCATTTCCAGCAAAATAATTAATTTTAGGTAATAATTCGCAGGTAATAAATCTACTGGTGAGATTTTTTTGGGTGTATTGATTATTGGATTTGGAGCGGGGGGTGATTTTTTTTCGTGGAGAAATGATGGGCCTGATTTTATGAGAAAAATTAGCCATCGTGGGCCCATATCAGTCCATTGGTTCTCGAGATATTGAAAGCTATAGAGTTTTTAGATTTTTAGATCAATAGATTCTGGAAAAACTTAGTGGTGAATCCAAGAATATTCATCACTGGTTGTAATGAATTTTTTTTTATCGAGATTGCATGATTATTCACCGAGATATAGACGATTTTGTGCCGCTGTCTATAGGATTTTTATAGCATTTCGATTTTTATATAACCAAAGGAATTGAGAAGTATGATTTGTACCGAAAAATGGGGGTAAATTGAAATTGATTATTAGTCGATCGACAGATTAACAGCTATAGAAATTCTAGGTTAGGAATCTATATCCGTGGATATCATCAAGAGATTTTTGAAAACTTGATCGTCGATTGAACAGTATCGATCAGTGGTTGTAATGTATTTAAAAAAAATCAAGATTGCATGATTATTCACTGAGTTACAGACGCTGTCTATAGGATTTTAATAGCATTCTAGTTCACTGCATAATCATTGGGTACAATCTAACGTTTCAGGTTTCGAATTAGGGGATATAATTTGTAACGAAAAATTGAAATAAGTTATCACTTATTGGAGATATTGACGTTTATAGCTATAGAATTGATCTAAACAAAATGTCGATTTTTCATTCTGTATAATTCTAACGTCTCAACAATGAATGGGCAGGTGAGCAGACAATTTATCGAGATACCCATTTCTATAGAATCCATTCTCAAAACACAGATCTTGTAGTCTATAGATTCCTACATTAACTTTATCTCTTTCATGACAAAAAAATGTTTTCTATCTATAGCTGAGTGATGGGTGTCAAATTGAAGAGCAAGATCTGTATTCCGGAATATATCATTGATTAATCGAGATATAGGAGCTATAGATTTAATCTCCAAAAAAATTACATTTCCTTATCCACAGAAGCTCAACGTGAAGGGCAGGCATCCGCTATAAAATAAGGATTCTTTGTGATCGAGCAAAAATTGGAGGAGATATAGAATTCTATAGATTCCATTCTCCAAACCCAATTCATTCTGAATTTGTTTACTATATCTCAGGAACTAATAGATCGATTTCAACGGGTCAAGACTCAAACAAAATGTCCCGAACAATGCCAAAAAATGGACCACTATTCCATCAATAGCCATCGACAATTCCAAGAGCTATTGACAGCTATAGAATCCCGTTTTGCAATATCTCAGCAACCAGCAGACCGATTTCGACGATCGACGGCTCAAAAAAAATGGCCACTTCAAACTAACCCATCTACAGATCCTAATCTAAAAAAAACCCTGCCCCCACCAGAATCACCTCAAAACCTCAATCAATAAACCCCAAAAATTCTCCATAACCCAACAACCTCTCACCGAGAAAAAAACCTCCCCCCAAATTAATTCTGCTTGAGCTTCGCAAAGTCAATCTCCGCATACCGGAAGCCCTCTTGCGCAGGCGTGGGTGAAACAGGGGGTACGGATGATGACTCAGGAAGATCCAAACTTGCGTAATGGAGTAGTCCCACTCCAGGCTGTAATTTTTCGTAGCCCTCGGAGTCCAGTGGAGTGGGAGTTGGGGTGGGTGTGACTGTGGGTGTTGTATCGTCCGGAATTTTTGGTGAATTTGCTTTGGGCCCCTTGAGGGTCCCCGTCTGTGTGGGACTTGTGTTGGGTGATGGACCCACTAATTTCGATTTCGATATCGACAGCTCGGATAATTTTTTCGTCACGGGGGACTGTGGCATCGGCGGATTGTCGGGGGGATTTTTTGGGGCCTCACGGGCCCCAGGGGAGTCCGGCTTTTCGGGCTTTTGATTGGTGGTGGGACTAGGCTCGTCTTTCGAGGTGTTCGAGAGAGATATCGTTATCGGTGAGGTTGTATTTCTCGGCTGTTTCTTTTTCGTCAGATTATCGGTTAATCTCTTGGCTAGGGGACTCAGGGGCGTGTCCCCGGGGTTCGCGGGGCCTGATGTGGGGGCGGGTGGGGGGCAGGGAACTATTGGCGCCATTTGGAGGGGATTTTGAATTGTGGAAATTGGATTTTGGGGGTTTGAGGTGGTATTTTGGGACAGAATGATGGCAAGGGTTTTCAGTGGGGACTTGAGGGGACTCTCCGGTCTCTCGACTTTTGACGGATCATTCTGAATTGCTATTGGCGCTGATGTCGCTGAGAGGGAGGTCATGACGGCGTAATTTGAGACGTCGGGAGAGCAGTCGGAGGAGCTGGTCTCTGATATCTGTTTTGGGGTGTCGAATGCCTTCACTGGCGATTGGGGACTGTTCAGGGAGAAGGGAAATATCGTGGTGGAGCTGGTAGGAGTTGTTAGGGTTTCAGAGCTGGGTGAGTCAGTCAGGGGTAGGAAACTTGGGATTTTTGAGGGCTTCGATGCCTGAATAGCAATTGGCTGTGAACGATTCTTTTCTTTACGATTACCTGGACGCTGACGTCGACGGGGACGATTTACTCCGGTCGTCATGTTTATGTAGTCCTGCTCGAGACTTGGGCGGGCCTTGAATGGGCCCATCTCCACGTAACCTTCTGGAGGTTTACGGGGCTGGGGAAGGTCCACTGGAGCTGTTCTACTTACTCCTAGAAGAAATTGCTACCGTTCAGAATTTTTTTTTTAATTTTGGGGAGCAGACATTTTTTTTTCCTCAGAAATAATCTTTTATTTTTAACAGAAAAAAAATCTTTTTTTGAGATAAAATTTTGAAAAAAAACTTTGTGAATAAAAAAAATTGAAATTAGTTGTGTTGAAAAAATAATTACTTTGTGGAAGAAGTACTGAAATATTCTGTTCTTCTTTTAAGCTTTGATATGTCAATTTTTTAAAAAGATAAATTTGTAGAAATGTCAATTTAACTAATTTCATTGTTATCAATTCAACGAAAACAAAGAATTGTCCCTCATTTTGTATACCTGGTGGACCATTCATCTGCATATAATCGTCCTGCATCGGTGATGGTGGCTGTTTAGGACTCATATCATTCCTCCAATCATCCAAGGTGCTGTTCATTCTCATGTATGGTTCAGCCTCGACAACAGGTTTCAGAGTCTTCAGAGATGGTTTGTGAATGACAGATGTCGTCGTGGAATGCACATGATTGTGATTGTGATTAGTCGTGGTAATGTTGTTGTTGTTATTTCTATTGATCTGAGGCCCCCCCAAAAAAATCACAAATTAATGTAATTCAAATTAACTGAATGAATAAAATCAATGAATTAAATTAACGAATTAAGGTGTTTCGGTTGAAAAGTCAAAATAATGAAAAAAAATTGGAAAATTCATGGGAGAAATGTCTGAGTATGCTGCACCATGGAGAATTTTTGTACTTTTTTTTCAGATCTCAGTTTCCAGAAAAAAAAAAGTAATGAAATTTGGATGTTTTTGTAACCCCTCCAGCTATAACCTCCGAGGTTTACCATCTCGAGAGGCATTTTAATATTTTTTCAATAATTAAAATAACATCCAATAAAAAGTATTTGACACCTGTAGGTGATGAGAAAAAAAATCAATCTGATGAATAAAATCAATAGTCAAAAAATGTTCAAATGCACACTTAAATAGTTACTTGAAAATTGGAAAATTTCGTGCTCAGCGATTGAATCAGGGCTCGAGAACACTAAGACTCCCCCCCCCCCTCCCCCACCGGTGATCACTACACAAAACACCTTAAAAACCGAATGAGTAAAAACAGAATGAATTTTACCTTATTAACACCACTCATATCTACATAGGGGGCAGTATTGCTGGCATGCGGTTGTCCAGGTGACATGTCCACATAAGAGCTTGTGTCAGTGGCAGTGGAGTACGACTGTGACTGCGAATAACTCGATGGTGATGATGAAATAGTCGTTGGTACATTGGTCCTCGTGAAATCCATCTCCATGAGGTCCTCCATACGTTCACTGGCGACTGAATTGTGCCCCCAGGAGCTTGACAGCATTGGCGCTGAGTTGGATTTATTAGGATTGACATTTTCAACACTCGTGGGTAACCTAGAGGTGATGATATTGGTGATACGACCCAATTCGGGTCTTTTCGATCTGCTGCCAACTGAAAATGCCCTGACTCTTGATGACTCCTGTAGGGCAATGTCCAGGCGATTTTTTCGATGTCTGTTGGAGGGCTCGGGACGTGAGCCCACTGAGTAGGCACGTGTTGGCCGCAGGGGAAGATCGTCAGACGGTGTCAGGAAGCTCGAGACCTTGTCTAATGGATAATCTGACAATCTGAGATCAGTGGATGGTGTTCCACTGGTGACAGAACAGCTGGAGCCATGCTGTGACATGTCATCGGGGAAGTGTCCATTGTGTCCATTGGATGGATCCATGGCGACATAACCATCGTCACCAACAGGTGCCATTGGAACATAGCCATCGGGTAGAGTTGATTCCTCAACAAGGGATGAGGCTCGAGAGTGACTCAGACCAGTTGTTGCTGGGCTCATTGGCATGTAAGCACCACCACGACCTGGACTCGAGCCGCAGGGACTGTACATCTCCACGTAGGAACTTTGCTGCAATTTAAAACAACAATTTTCATTACTTAAATCATCATTTATTTATTTTCACTATCTGAAATCATCAAAATCATCAAAAATCATCGAATGAATTCAGTATTTTCTTTTTTTATTAAGGCCCGGGTAGATTATCTTTCGAACGAGATCTTGGTTGTTTTTCTTATTTTGATAATCTGAAATTATCTCCAATTGCTATTCAGTTTGACATAGCCCTGGGGTCTCAAAAAATTATGATTGTATAATCAAAAAAAAATGTTGAAAAAAAGCTGAACACTCTGAACGCGCGTTTTAGAATAATATTGGGAAATGAACCCAACAGGGAGGAAATTGCAAATTAATAATTTGATATCTAATGGCTGTTAGGTCGTCATTTGTCACAGTAGTCAATGGCTGTCAGGTCGTTAGTTACCATGATAAATTATCCATTCACTATTTCCTCTCTATCGTACTTATTTCTTAATCTTCATTAAAAACGCTCTTTGAAAAATGTTCATTTTTTTTCTACTTTTTTTTTGCCGACTGCGGCAAGGAGCAGCGACAGTTTTCTGGTGGGATTTTGGCGTGGATATCATTGTTGACTTGTTGTTGTTGTCGTGTTGTTGTTGCTGTTACTTGTTATTATAACGCTGATTGTTGATGGATCATACTTATTTCGTAATCTTCATTAAAAACGCTCTTTGAAAAATGTTCAATTTTTTTCTACTTTTTTTTGATTGTACAATCATCATTTTCAGGAACTCCTGCGTCATGTAAAATCTAATGGAAATTGTGATATATTTTACATTATGAAGATGGAAAAACAATCGTGATAATGTTCGGAAGATAATCCACCCGGGCTTTAAAATCATTAAAACAATCGTTTTTAAAAAGTACGTGAACAAGTGAGTCAAACCATTTTTTGCTGATACAAAAATCACTGATAAAATTGTCAGTCATTAAATCATCGCAATCATAAAGAATCATCAAATCAATTCAGCATTGTTTTTTTATTCAAATAATTAGAATCATCGTTTCGAAAGAGTGAAAATTAAATGTGATTATGTGGTCATCAGTCATCATTAAAAAAAAGTTGCAATCATCATAAATCATCATAAATCATTAAATGAATTCCCACCTGAGACGGCGAATGTGACTTGAAATTGGGTGAGTATTTATTCGCCTGTCCACTGTTAGACCATGGAACATAATCATCCGCATTCTCCTCGAGGATGACTGGTTCGTCCGGTGTTAACGAGTGCCCATACCTCGTGGTGCTCTCCTCGATCATGTTATCACCTCCCTCGTCCATTGATAATGACGAGCCCGCTGAGTCTGTTGAGCAGGCACCAGAGGCTGGACTTATCGGCATGGATGAGACTGGAGGTGAGTACGAGAGGCCTCTGCCGTACATGGAGTGGGGCCTCGTTGGATGGAGCACCAGGTGAGCATTTCGAGAATGACCAAGCACCAGGGGCGCTGGATGACCCTCTGATGCTGTTCTCGCACGCGAGGGCAGGCTGTCACACCTGTCACGACCTGTCGCACCTGAAAAATCGAAGACATCGATGAGCAATTTTAATCAAAAGTTGTTCTGTTGATTTTAATAAATCTTTTTTTATAGTTAAAATGAAGCAGATTTAGAGAATGATTTTCATGATTTTCATAATAATTTTTATGATTTTTTATCATTTTCATGAATTTTTATGATTTTTTATAATTTTTATGATTTTTATAATTTTTACGACTGATCATTGTAATGATTTTTTCTCATTTTTCTGCTTCATTTTACGATTATTCCTTTTTAAATACAAAAAAAAAGGACAGAAAATTGATGAAAAAGCCAATCCCATTATCCCAGCATAGCGTGTTAATTCTTCATAATTTATCTGATGAATAAATAAAATGGAAAAATTGCTTCAAGTACCAGATAATGAATTATCACTGAAATCCATTAGTGAATATTAGGTACAATCCCCTGAGATTTATCATGATTGTGTTTTTTTTGCAGTAGATGGTTAATTAGATTTTTGCAAGAATATTGCTATGGAATTTTTCACGATGGGGAGATGAGATTGAGATGAAGCCAGGGGACAAGTAGCCAAGAGCAGTAAAAATCAAACATTCGTGCTGTAAATCGAGTAAAAACTTAATTAAATGTACTAGAAGGATGGAGAAACAGTGGAAAAATCAGCAGTGATGGTAAAACGTGTCAATTTTTTACATCTCGAATTGCATGTGCAATTATCTCGATCAATAATGAGGTGGACAGACATTTTTTCAATATCCTATTTTATAAAATATGTTTCTTGGTGCCTCTTTTAGACTCCATACATTACTGACATAACGATGAAATTGAAGAAACTTTCATGTTTCAAAGAACTTTCTTTTCAGCCACTAATTATCGAATTATCTCAGTAAATAATCATGTTATCAAAAAACATCATAAAACATTTTTTGTCCGAAATTTTCTCCTCTACAAAAAATGTCCTGCAATGTTTTCCTCTAACTGTACTAATTACCGAGATAATTGCTCAATTACTAACCTCTTTAACCTAAAAAAAATCTCATCGTCTAAAACACATTTTAGTTAAATCCTGAAATAGAAGGTATTTCTATTCATAAACTTATTGTCGACGTCACGTTTTACCACACAATGACACAATCAAATCAATAAATAATCAATCAGTAAGAATGAAAAAAAATCAAAACACAAAATCCTTAAATATACGCATGTTTTCATCGCTTATCGATCGAAGAATGTCGAACGCAGTAGCAGTGGCAATGCAGATGCAGATAAATCAAAACAACAAAGCAAAAAAAATCATGGAATCAATTAACAATATCAATAAACGAATCGCCCAAACGATTGCTCACAAAACAGCCAGGGAAATTCCCCCTGTCAGCCTAATGAACAGAGCCACATTAAACTGAGACTAAAATAAAGATTAATTTATTTGAGTGATTAATTGAAACACTAATAAATAAATTAACTGTTAATCCCTTCTCGCATGCGATGCAACAGGCCCTAGACAGCATCAGAACGCATCTTAAGTTTTTCGATTCGTTTGAAGAAATTCAGTCAACAAAACAATTTTTTTATTCTGAATGAGAAAGAATTTTTTATTCTTCAGTTGAGTTTTCGGGACGTAGGGGAGGTTGGGGTAAAACGGACACTTTTGACTTTTTTAAAAATGTTAATGAGGGGTTGAAATGTTGATAAAATTTAATAATTTTTTTTCAATACAAAGAACAATTCTTCCCCTTTGTGACGAGTCTAAACTGAGCGCAATTGATCAATTTGTTTCTAAGTTATGAATAATTTTAAAAAAGTCTAGTGTCCGTTTTACCCACCCTTCCCTATCTCCAAATCTAAGGGAGATATTGAAATCTTTGTGAAGACCATTTTTGTAGAGTGAATTGAGGGATACAAAAAAGGTCCTGACAAAAATTTTGCTATCTCTTTCAGATTTCGAGATATTGACTGAAAACTGCCTGATAATAAAAATTAACTTGAATCGGCTTCCATTGATCGAAAATTTTATCGTGATTGGAAATCAATGGTACCCAGGAGTGACTGAATTTCTTCAAAACAAGATCGGAGAAACGAGAAAACAAAATCACCAATCAACCAGCGAGACTGCAAATCATTCCGGCCTCATGTATTAATAAAAGATCAGGCCATTTTATCCATTAACAATTGTTAACTGATTTGTAAAGATCCAGTGAGAGGTGGGGCATTTCTCTCTTCGATGAATAGACATTTTCGTGCATTATCAGTGGAGAAAAATGCATGAAAATCGTTATTCCATGATGAGATATTGACGAGGAGATCCAGGTGCGTCATAATTAACAAGTCTGAGGGTGAAAAGTTACGTTTTTCATTTTTTCATCGAATGTCTGAAAGGACTCTGTCTTGCACGTCAGTTAATAGTATTGATAATCCAAAAGTGAATGCAAAAGAATTGTTTTTTTTTGTATCTCTCCCTCTCTCAAGTAATTTGTGTTCATATTTTTTGTTGCATTTGAACGAAAAATACATACAGCGTAAAACAGATCTTTTAGATGATTGCGATTGATTGATAACGACTGCGGCAAGGGGCAGCGACAGAGTTCTCTGGTGGGATTTTGGCGTGCTTATCATTGTTGTACTTGTTGTTGTCGTGTTGTTGTTGTTGTTGTTGCTTGTTGTTATAACGCTGATTGTTGATGGTAACGTTGGGGTAGTTGTTGTTACATTAACGGTTTGGGAATTTATTGTGGATATTGGCTGACTGGCAACTGAGTGCCGGCGTCTATTTGCAGTTGAGCTGCTGATGGCGTATGTCCCAAGGCTCCTAGTCCCCGCAACAGCTGCAAACCCATTTTCTTTCATCCCAACAATTTTCTTATTTTTCGCTCTCTCAATTCGCCTCATTTCTCGTATTCTGCCATCTCTTGTTTTTGTATAGTTGTTGTTTTTCTTTTTTTCTTTTTTTTTGGAAGAATGATTTTTCTGGGGCTTCTTTTTTTGGTGGGGTGAAATAAAAATTAAGCGAGACACATTCACACTCTGAAATGTTTCCAGTGTTTTGACGGTGAGGTGGGGAATTATGATTTTTCCATCAGTCTGTCAAAATAGTGGAAATATTTCTTCACTTGGCTGCTTGGGTTATTCACAGCTGGACAGTTAGGGTGATTTATTCCCTAAGAGGGGGAGGGATTCAATGAAGTGATATACTGTCAACACCTGAGATACCCATGCTCCATGGAAAATCATAAGATAATCTGCGAAAGCGGTCCGAGGAGCGCAAATACATCCCATTAAACATAGACCAACGAATCAAGTCGGCAGCGAAGTGGTGGAACGAGTCAAGTTGATTTGACTATTAAGTTTTCAGTGGATATCTGGGAATCTAGGGGGGCTGGCGAAATTTTTGTCATGACGTTTTTTGTAGAGCTGTAAAAAATGTCATTATGAGAATTTCAATATCTCCTCGAGATTCGGAGATGTTTCTGGAAAACGCTGTGAAGGTATATCCCGAGATAATATGATTTCCGGAAAAAATTCTAAATGACTTAATTTATTGCGTTCCCATAAGTTATTGAGTTTTTCTGTCCTCATGTGTTATTGATGAAGGCAACAATAATTTTTTTAATCAAATAAGAGACGATTTCACGAAGTGTTCATTTTTTAGATTTGAATATCGTAGAAACTATGTACTAGAAAATTTTACAAAAAATTCATCAAATTCGGAATTTATCAATCTATCACGATTTTTTTAAAGCGTAAGAACCGTTTTCTCATAAGATGGAATATTATTTGCATTGTTAATTTTTTAAATTTATTTTTCATTATTTACTGTCTCCTAAACTGTGTCGTACAACTAGTTAGAATTTTTCTCAATAGCTGGAGAATATTATAAATATTATCTGTGAAAAACATGGAAGGAATCGTAAGACAAACCTGTTTTCTAGAGATATACCTTAAGGTATATTCTAAGACAATACCACCCAAAAGTTAGTCCCTATGGATTTCCGAAAAAATTCTAAATGACTTAATTTATAGCGTTCTGATAAATTATTGAGTTTTTCTATCCTCATATATTGTTGATGAAGGCAACAATAATTTTTTGAATCAAATAAGAAATTGCTTGTTAATTAATTGTTTGAATCAAATGAGAAATGATTTCACAAAATTTTCATTTTTTAGAGTTGAATATCACAAAAACTAGGGGAGAGTGGTGCAAAATGGAGCAGTCAAAAAAACAACTGTTTGACGCAATTCAAGCAAACAACATTTTTTTAAAATTTTTTTTTTGTTACATTTTTTTATTCTTGGAAATATTGACAAAAATAATAATTTTCCATTCAGTAAAATGGAAAATTATTAAAAAGTTTCGATGGACGAAGATTTTGTCAATGGATTATTCGATTGAAATTCAGCATTATATTTTCCTTTTTCCCCCGTTGGATCTCCCCCTGGGTCTTGCTCTGGACTTTAGATTCTGCTGTTTCATTTTCGTTTCAATTAATCCATTGACAAAATCTTCGCCCGTCAATACTTCTCGATAATTTTCCATTCTACTGAATGGAAAATTATTAGTCTCATCAGTACTCCCATGAATGATAAAAAGTTAACAAAAAAAATTCAATAAATTTTTTAAAATCAACTGTATTAATTAAAAATTAATTTTATTAATTAATTAATAAATTTTTTCTTAACATTTACGGTATTCGGAATTTATTAATTTCCCACGGATTCGTTTTCTAAAAATACCGTAAAAACCGTTTTAAAAATTAGATTTTTTTTCAATTGCTGAAGACTAATATAAACATTATCCATGAAAAACACGAGGACAATCGTAAGAAACCTTAGGAGCTGTGTCGACTTGAATCGTTTTACCGCTTCGCTACTGAACTAAAAATCCCACGTTAATTCGAGGTAACAAAATAATTTATAACATTTTGTCAACTGATTATTGACTGCGATTAGCGATTATTCAGCGTGGGATTTTTATTCCGAATTTCCAATGCGACTTTTGGAGAAAGAAAGCAACCATTCATTGATTATCACGTCTGTCCCAAGATTGACAAACATTGAAATAAATTATAATTTTTTTGCTCTCTTAATTTGACAGTGAACAGACCCGTCAGTGTATTGCCAGAGGTACTCTGTGATTGACTACAACTCTGTGAAGGGGCAGATGCCGTTCCGCTCTGATCCTCGGTGGCACTTTGTTCCTCTGTAAATTCCCACGACAAAAACCCATACTCTGTTTTATAATCATCTTTTTCTAGGGACACACGAGGGAAAAAAAACAAATTCTGTAATCAAGAATTAATTTTCTCTCTCGTGATACTCTCCTCCATCGACTACTCGTTATTCCTTCAATTTTTTTTTCATTTTTGCTTAAATATTCCTGGGGGTTTTAAATTGTGATTGTGGCTCAGAGCAAGTCTAAAGCTAATTAAAGCCAATGATATATGAACTTTTCATTGGTTGATGAATGTCTTTAGACCGATGGGATGAGTAGAGATTTATATTTTTCAAATGGTCTTTTCACAAATTTCTTGTCAAAGACTTTCGTCACAGTTGGGCTAGTTGCAGGTGTCTTCCATTACTGAACAAATTAAGGATTTCTGGAAGTTTGTGGACATTTTACAATGATTTTATTATTTAAACTTTGCAGGTCTGAATTTGAATCTCGATAATGAACTGTTAGCAAACATTTTAACAATCTGGAAAAAAATTAGAGAGTTTACTTTCGGAGGAAGATTGATAAAATAATTGAAAAATTTCAATTTTTCAAAATTACGAGCATTTTCCATGAATAGTTTCTTCACAATGAATTTTTCACCATAAAAATCATTTGTTCGAGATCGTAATAAATTTATTCATATTCCGACTTTGTCCGGGTGTATTATCTTTTGAACGTTATCTCGATTGTTTTTCCATCTTCATAATGTAAAATATATCACAATTTCTATTGGATTTTATATCACGCAGGAGTCCCTGAAAATTATGATTGTACAATAAAAAAAAGTATTAAAAAACTGAACATTTTCAAAGAGCGTTTTTAATGAAGATTGATAAATAACTCCGACAGAGAGGAAATAGCGAATGGATAATTTATCATGGGAACTAACGATCTGACAGCCATTGACTACTGTGACAAATGACGACCTAACAGCCATTAGATACATAAAATTATTAATTTGCAATTTCCTTCCGACTGGGTTTATTTCTCAATATTATTTAAAAACGCTCTTTGAAAATGTTCAGCTTTTCTCAAGGTTTTTTTGATTGTACAATCATCATTTTTGGAGACTCTAGGGCTGTGTAAAATCGAATAGCAATTGGAGATCATTTCAGATTACCAAAATAAAAAAAAAATCAAGATCACGTTCGAAAGATAATCTACCCGGACCTTAATGCCCAAAAAATCAGATTTCCGAAAGTTTAAATAATGTCAATTATTCATTGATAAATAACGAATGCTTAAAAAAGTGATAATTCTGTGTAAAATATAAATTCAATGACGCTGGATATTCAAGATTTTTTTTCAATGTGATCTGTACCAAACTGTGAAAGATAATTGGATATCCTTAAGGATATTCAAATACATTGGCTATTTTTTCTTCAGTGAAATGTTTTTCTACTTTTGTCGTCGAACATCAGAGCTTTCATTTGAGCCCCATTTGGCTCCAAGTTTCCAGACATTTTACAATGATTTTATCATTTAAACTTTGCAGATCTGAATTTGAATCTCGATATTGAACTGTTAGCAAATATTTTAACAATCTGAAAAAAATTTAGAAAATTTACTTTCGGAGGAATATTGATGAAATAATGAAAAAATTGCAATTTTTCAAAATTACGAGCATTTTCCATTAATAATTTCTAAACAACGAATTTTCCATCATAAAAATTATTTTCGTGAGAAGACCCGGTAAACCGCGATTCTAACCTTGCTTCGCTCGGTTTGATCGCGGTTTAAGGGCCTTCTGACGAAAAATTGCATTCATCACACGGTCCGAAAGTATTTTCTAACGAATACAAAGCCACATTCGTTAGAAAATACTTTGTGGACCTTGTGATGAAAATAACTATTGTTCGAGATCGTATCAAATTGATTAATATTTCGAATTTTATCAAAAACTGATTCAAGGCCCGGGTGTATTATCTTTCGAACGTTATCTCGATTGTTTTTCAATCTTCATAATGTAAAATATATCACAATTTTCATTGAATTTTACATCACGCAAGAGTCCCTGAAAATTATGATTATACAATAAAAAAAGTAGAAAAAAATTGAACGTTGTCAAAGAGCGTTTTTAATGAAGATTAAGAAATAAGTCCGATAGAGAGGACATAGTGAATGGATAATTTATCATGGTACCTAACGATCTGATAGCCATTGACTACTGTGACAAATGACGACCTAACAGCCATTAGATACACCAAATTATTAATTTGCAATTTCCTCCCGAATGTGTTTATTTCTCAATATTATTTAAAAACGCTCTTTGAATATGTTCAGCTTTTTTCAAGGTTTTTTCAATTGTACAATCATAATTTTTGGAGACTCTAGGGCTAGGTAAAATTGAATAGCAATTGGAGATCATTTCTGATTATTAAAATTTAAAAAAACAAGCAAGATCAGGTTCGAAAGATAATCTACCCGGGCCTTAATGCCCAAAAAATCAGGTTTCCGAAAGGTAAAATAATGTCAATTATTCATTAATAAATAACGAATGCTTAAAAAAATGCTGATTCTGTGTAAAATGTAACTTCAATGACGCTGAGTATTCACGATTTTTTTTCAAATTACTCTCACGCAATTTAGTTAAGAAATTTGATGATTAGAATAAAAATGACGATCAATTCTAATAAAATTCACGAAAAATCGCTTCTTCACCTGATTTCATCATTCTTACGTATTTGTTGGAATTGAAATTGACAGTGGATGAGAGTATCTCATCTGACATTACATAAATGAAATCACATTCATCAATTTTGTTTTACAATTTTAATTTCTATTTTTCATCGATAAATCCAGAAAACAATTTTCCCATTTGTAATTGAATTAATCGAGCAAATCGACTCAATTACTTTGTTTACGCCGGAAAAATTCCAACTATCGATGAAATCCGTCTCATGCATCGTTTTACTCATGAAAATTGAGTATGATTGCGCGCTTTGTACGACTGAGAATCATTAATAGTCCACTAATTGAGGAAAGATTCCTCTCGACTTATTCAACTCTGATGACATGTCTTTCTCATTGATTAATAAATTAATTGATCAATTATGCAATACTATTGATTAATCTTTACACATCCCAAATGGCACGGGAATATCTACAATCTAGCGGCTACGGTCGTATGTCCCTGTGAATCACTTGTTTTGAAAAGTTCAATTTCAAACAAACATCTCGATAATTCCGGTATGACAGTGTCCATGAGTGAGTCACACTTTCCGCTTGCGAGCCACAACCGTACGGGGATAAGATGATAAAATGAATAATAAAAATGCGCTGATAATAACAGCCGATGAAATCTCATTTTTTGAGGGAAAAAATTGATTTTGTGTGCAAAAAAATTAATTTAAAAAAAATTTTGAGACTTGAAAATTGAAGAGAAATGTTTTTGAAAAATGATAAACTGAAAACAAATCTAAGTGAAAAAAAATTAGTTCCCCTAAACTATAAATCATAAAGACTCATTATTCACCAAAAATAGAGTCACTAAAAACCCATTATGTCCCGAAATGTCGAAATTTCCTAATGAAAACACTTGATTATTGTTAAAACGTAAAAGCATAATTACAGAGAAAATTTACAAAAAATATTTTTTAAACAATTAGTAATGACAAAAAAAGTATTGACAAATTTCCCAGAAAAATTTCAGGTGATGCTAGAGTCCCAAGACTCTCCATCACCTCGGAAATAATAAAAAAGTGCAATAAAAAAAATTAATAAAAACTTAGAATTTATTTTTGTCATTAATTTCTCAAAATGAGAAAACTCCATTTTTAAAGGAAAAGCGTTAATTTTGTGTGAAAAAAATTGCTTCAAAAAGTGGAAGCAATGAATTTAAAAAAAATTTTGAGACTTGAAAATTGAAGAGAAATGTTTTCGACAAATTATAAAACAACAGAAAATGTTTAAAAATATAGTTCCACTGAATTATAAACTACACACAATTATTCACCAAAAATGTTGTCACTAAAATCCCCAAATTTTCTAATGAAAACTCCCGACTATTGTTAAAACGTTAAAGCATAATTACAGAAAAAATTTACAAAAAATAATTTTAAAAAAATTCGTAATGACAAATTTCCCAAAAAAATGTCAGGTGATCCTCTTAGTGTCAAGACTGTCAATCACCTCAGAAATAACGAAAAAGTGCAGAAAAAAAAAATTGATAAAAACCTAGAATTTGTTTTTGTCATTAATTTCTGAAAATTTTTTTTCAATTGGAGATTGAATCGCTCACCTAAGGGTGAGAATCCGAGGGCTTTGCTGCCAGTGGGTCTCCTCCTGATGAAAGCAATGGGTTTGCTGGCCTCATTGGCAGAAGAACTTCTCTTCCTCGTCTGAGGTAGTACCTCGTCCTTCTCTTTATTTCCAGAGCCACTCATTGCATTCATGATAGCTGCATGCATGTTGTGAGCGATGTTATTGTCCTCTGCCTTCATCCAATAGTCACCCTCACCAGTGACAGCTGATCTACCCACTTCCATGTAGAATATTCTGTCCATACATCCACATCTTCTGATTGTTGTCAACTAAAAATTCATTTTTTAAATTCAATCATCAAATTTTTCTAGTTCATTGGATGCAAAAAATATGAAAAAACTGATCAACATCATAAAAATGATGAACAAAACTCTATTGTCAAAATCTGATGACCAAAATCGTTAACAAATAGTTTAAAAATTCAGTATTTCTCTTGAATGACAGTGTCATTAACTAATTGTCCAATTATCTCAGTAATTACTGATCCTATGAAAAAATATCAATCGACATTATTTGCCAGAAATTTTCTCCTCTCCAAAAAATCTCATTTGACATTTCCTCTTAAACCCTCTTATTCTCTAGATAATCATTGATTAACATTATACCCCAATGAAAAATAAATTAAAAATTATTATAAAATAACAATCACACATTGACATCATTGAAACACGTAATTCAATTAATACCAATCTGTTTCTAGTATATATATATCAAACTATATCAATTATTAAATAAGACTTCACTACTTTGTAATTCTAAAAATGTTTTTTTGCCTTTTAATTTATTAAAAACATTTTATTTTCTGATTATCTCGTGGAGTTCGATTCCATTCTCAATCGTATATCAATCCTCCAGAGTTTAACTACAGTTTTCTTCTACACTAAAGTTTCTCTACATTTTTTACAGATTTTTTGTGAGGAAAATTCCACTTACTGGGAATTCTAGGCAATCAGTGCTGTCGTCAGCCCCAACTTTAATGAGACTCAGTGTCTTATCAGTGAGGCAGAGTCTGTAGGGCCCATGGAGGTTCTTTCGTTCCCCCAGACCCTTTTTTTGGAGTGTCACCTGCCACACGTGCTCTAAAGAAAAAAATTTAATAATTAAATTAACCGAATCAATTCACTTTGAGTAGATTTTGGCCACTGGCCAGTTTTCAATGAATATCTCGAGATCTAAGGGAGATACCAAAATTTTTGTCATGATCTTTTTCGTAGCCCTCAATTCGTTCTACAAAAAAGGTCCTTACAAAAATTTCGTTATCTCCCTCAGATGTAGAGATATTCCTCGAATACTCATTCACAATTAATTCGTATGAGTTAAAAATGAAAAATGTGAATTGAAAATTTTTAAAAATTGGGGAAAATCAGTTGGCTATTTACCAAATGTAGGTTTGGGCTGTTCACCATCAGGAACATCACCGCACAGGAGCAGCATAGCTGTCAGCCAATCCTCAAGCTCCTTGTCATTATCCAGGATCAACGAGAAACAATCGTCCTTTGTGTACAGAGCAATAACGTGCTTGTGCCTCGTGTCACTTCTACGATTTATGTTGTAACAACTTCTCATGGCTATGCTTCTCTTTGGTGGCTGTCGATTATCAAACTTCTTCTTGTTGTCGTAGTACTCGAGGCATGCCGGATGACCGGGTATATCACCGTGAAGGACGAAGTACTTCTTCTTCAGTGGCTTGAGACCTGATATTAATGAGCCTGACTTACGGAGATGTCCACAGCGCACGACAGGACCACCCGAGGGGCACGCCTGACCCTTGCCCGAAGACATCGCCGTTGATGTTAAAAAACCCGTTTTTAAGAGTTTTTATTAACACCTGTTTCATGGAAAAAAAATAAGACAACAAGAAGTTAATAATAAATCGTTGAAAACAAATATTTGAAAATTAATCGGAGATACAGTTGCACAATTTTGTCATGAAAAAATTGTTTACAATTGATGTTGAATATTTTTTAAATATATTCCAGTCAAAAAAGTAGAATTTTTTTTATATCAAATTAAAATAGATTATCAATGAACATCAGTATTTCGGAATGAATTTCGGAAAAAATTTGACAATTTTATGAAGAAAAAATTGTTGAACAATTGTTATTGCAATTATTTTGAATCTATTTTAATGTAAAAAATATCAAATCACTTCTGATAATAAGAACATTCAATACTTAATACTATAAAACATGAAAAAAATGAAAATTGAATCGTTTTCACTTGAACATAATTATTAAAAAAAAATACAAATTCCTTTGAAAATAAAAAAAAACGTTCAACAATTGTTACTGCAAATATTCGAGAATATTTCAGTCCAAAAAATATCAAACAACATTCCATAAAAAATAAATACTCAATCATTCTCGTTTAAATAATTTTTCTAAAAAAACATGTTTTTGTAGTCATGACCTTTCTGCGCTTCAAAACAAAAACAAACAGCGTCAACAAAACCCTGACCCCTCTTTCCCCCACCCAAAACCCATCGCCCACTCCCCAAATCACCTCTCTCAAAAATCGAAAATCTCGTCGACACGTGTCATCCCCATCCCCACAATCACAAAACCCTTCCCCTCGTCCGAACACAGGTCAATAACCCCTTTCTCGCCCCTGAGAACCGCCCATCAGTCAAAATAAATTCACAAAATTTTCATTTCACTCTTCGAGAGGTTAGGGAGAGCCCAACCATCTACATCCTCCTTATTTTCCCTCCTCACTCTCATGTCTTCCACCAACAATCCCTTTACCACCCTTCCACCCACCCCCGCCAACTGCAATTGAAAATCCAGATGATTTTTTCGTTTCACTTATTTTTTTTCTCGCCCTCATATTTTCATATGTTTTCCCTCTCTCGATCCCTCACTCTATTGCTGTCGTGGGGAATTTAATATTTTGTCGGGGCTTTTATTCAGGGGGTGGGGGGTGGCAATAGTGCGCAACCCTCGATACGCAGTCTGGGGGTTTTATTTTTTTTTATTTTTAGAGAGTGAAAATGAGGGGTTTAGTGTGGGGGGGGGGGGGGGAAAATGGGTTTNAATTTTCATTTCACTCTTCGAGAGGTTAGGGAGAGCCCAACCATCTACATCCTCCTTATTTTCCCTCCTCACTCTCATGTCTTCCACCAACAATCCCTTTACCACCCTTCCACCCACCCCCGCCAACTGCAATTGAAAATCCAGATGATTTTTTCGTTTCACTTATTTTTTTTCTCGCCCTCATATTTTCATATGTTTTCCCTCTCTCGATCCCTCACTCTATTGCTGTCGTGGGGAATTTAATATTTTGTCGGGGCTTTTATTCAGGGGGTGGGGGGTGGCAATAGTGCGCAACCCTCGATACGCAGTCTGGGGGTTTTATTTTTTTTTATTTTTAGAGAGTGAAAATGAGGGGTTTAGTGTGGGGGGGGGGGAGAAAAATTGGTTTTTGAGGGCTTGAAAAGGATTTTTAAGGAACGTTAAGGGCAATTTAAGTGCAATTAATGCATTTTTTAACAAAAAAAAAATTTGAATCATTATTTTTTGAGAGATAAATAATTTTTTTTGAGAAAAGGAGAAGAGGGGTGAGTTTTTGTCATTGTTGAGAGGGGAATTGAGGGTTTGGAATTAATTTTAGGAGTTAAGGGGAATTGAAATTTATTTTCCTCCAGTTGGTTTATTTTACTTTTAAATTTTGTCAATTTTTTTCAATTTGCAACACAGAAAAGTAAAAAATTGTTATTGGAGGAGTTCATAAATTTTTTTCCTTTTATTTACATAAAATTGAGTGCTTATGAATAAACGCATGACTTTTTGTTGCTTCTGAATGGAAGCTTTGTAATAGTTCGAAGTTAGGCTTTGAATTTTTTGTGTTATATCGGCCTAGTCTGATCCAAAAAGTCCGAAAATGCAATTTTTAGACCCCGTCCGTACATGTGTGTATGTGTTTACGTATGTAACAAAGTTGTTCTTCCATTGTTCACTAATAAATGGATGGAATTGAATTTTTTCTTCAAATGTAGGAATTATTGAGCCCTAGCTATCGCCGTTAATTAAAATTTAAATCATCGATTAGTTTTTTCAATTTTCCAATTTTTTCGAAAATCGGTTGTCCCATGATAACTAAAAAAAAAAAAAAAAAAATTACGATGCCCTAGACCATTTACCATAAATGCATTCCTGGTATCCAAGAATTTAAAATCATTAGAAATTATACATGAATTTGTTAAGAAAAATGGAATTAGAATTTAAAATAGCCGCACAGTTTTTGTAAATAACCCGAGAAGGGTTTGTACATAANTTAAGAAAAATGGAATTAGAATTTAAAATAGCCGCACAGTTTTTGTAAATAATCCGAGAAGGGTTTGTACATAAAAAAAAAAAAAAAAAAGTGCTGAATTGATTAAATGATGGCTTAAAAAATTTGTTTGGATGGCCTTTTGATCGAGTTCCAAGATGAAGGCGATAGCAATAATCGTTATGTGTATTTATTTGAAAATTGGCAAAAATTTTGTATTTTTTGAAAATCAGAATTTCGGGCATATCTTTGAATATACCATGCTTCAAATCAGTAGTGAAGTGGTAAACGGAGATAAGTCGACTTATCTCCCATTTGAGTTTTTGAGGAATATTTCCGAATCTAAGGGAGATAGCGAAATTTTCGTAATCACATTTGTTGCAGCACTCAATCGGCTCCACAAAAAAGGTTATAACAAAAATTTTGCTATCTTCCTTGATTCCGAGATATTGATTACAAACTGGTCAATAGTCAAAATTGACTCATCTCTTTTTACCACTTCGCTACTGAAATGAATTCAATCATAGCTTAAAATGTTTGTTGTAATGCCATTAAGTTGAAGTTAAAAGATGATTACGATGACTATATTGGTTGATTTGATTTTTATGATTGTTGAAAATTTCGAATTTTTCATTAATTTCTCTGAAAGTGAGCTTCCTGATGGTTTCTTCAAATGTGATGTTCCAAATTCATTCAAGTATGTGTGAATAAAATTTTTCTATTAACATTTTATCGAAGGGCTGAGAGGAGAGATAGAACTGTAAAAAAGACAATTGGTTATATAGAAGAAATCCCATTTGTTTCAATTTGCAGAACACAAAAGTGGAAAATCGATTGTTATTTGAGGTGTTAATAAATTTTTTTCGTTTTATACATATAGAAAATTGACGGCTTTTGCATTAATTCGTGACTTCTTTAAATTTTTCGAAAAATGTCAAACTCAATGAGTCATTTTTGGATAAAAAATGTTCCTGGTGAAAGAAAATAAAAGCAAAATTCAGGGGAAATTACGGACAACAACGAGTTTCTAGACAGTATCTCGTGACTCATTATTTATAACAGTAACACGTACTAATGATTCTAAAAGTCCAGGGGAAAACCTAACGAGTTTTCAGAAATCTCAAAGTAATAAACAACTGTCAAAAGTTGTGGAGAAATCAATTAATTCCCAAATGATGCTATGTGAATTTCTACGATTCTTATCACCTCGGAAAACCCAATGTTTATCAACAACGCACCCCACCCTATTCCCCTTCAATACCCCTCCACTGCCCCTCACCCTATAACTCCCCGCCGCTGGTCTAAATCTGAAGAAAAAAACACAAAATGCCTGAAAAATGACACAAACTTGAGCAAAAAATGGAGAAACAATTAAGAAACCACGTTCGCTTCCCCTAGATCTTCACAATTCATCAACAGTGTACGCCACTCGATCCTACCCACCCCTATAAAATCTCACACACTTATGCAAACCTTTATAAAAAATCAAACTCATAAAAAAAACAAAAAAATACAGCCTCATCCTCTACTTCTTTAAAACTTCCATGATTATGAACAACGCGTTCCACCCGATCCTTCCACCCTTTTCCTCATCCCCCCCCCCCTAATATTTATCAACCCCTACGCCACCCCTATGAAACCCTAAACGCTCACGAAAACCCATAAAAAAGTACAGAAAAAATCCCAAAACCCAAAAACTCATCAATAAAAAATCCCAAAAATTCAATAAAATTTTCATCCTCTTCCCTAAACTCTAGAAATAAAAACAATCACCTCTCCCCTCCTTCCCACCGTTAAAAACCTCAAAAACCTTTCAAACCCCTGGAAAAACTCCGAAAAAACTGAAAAAAACTCGTTAAAAAACCCCGAAACCATCTTCCGCCGCCCTAAATGTTCACTATTTACCAACAACTTTGCCCCACCCTCCTCCCTTCCAACCCCTAGCCCACCCCTATCAAACCCTAAACGCTCACTAAAACCCTGAAATAAGCCCAAAAAACCACGCATTCAAGGAAAAAAAATTCCAAAATACCAATTAAAAATCTTATCCTCTCCCCTAAACTCTAAAAACAATCACTTCCCCCCCCCAATGTTTATCAACAACCCAACCCTCCCTCCCCACCTCTAGAACTCTCAAAAACCGTCCGAAACGAGAACTCTCAAAAAACTGCCAAAAACTCCCATAAAACCCCCAGAAGCATCTTCCCCCACCCTAAACCCCTACTATTTACCAACAACGCACTCCACCCCACCCTCCCCCTTCCAACCCCTACCCCACCCCTATCAAACCCTAAACGCTCTCGAAAACCCAGAAAAAACGTAAAAACCCACGAAGTCATCAGAGAAAAGAAGGCCAAAAAACAAAAAAGTCTCATCCCCTCCCTTAAACCCTACAAATCAAAACACTCACCCCCCCCCCCCC